AAAAAAAAAAAAGAAAAGAAAGTGACAGCTGAAGGGGGACCAGGGGAGCCAGGAACAGTCCTCAGTGTCACAGGAAAGAGGCAGAAAGACCCTGCGCTCCAATGGGAGATTGGATGAGCACAGAAAGGGAACTGAGATTGATTGAACACTTCTGCATGCCCGGGTGCCCTCCATTTGGTGCCTTTTATTTTTTTAGTTTTAAAAAATTTTTATTATTATTTTTTAAAGTAGGCTCCATGCCCAACGTGGGGCTTGAACTCACGACCCTGAGATTAAGAATCGCAGGCTCTACCGACTGAGCCAGCCAGGCGCCCCTGTTTGGTGCCTTTCTTATTCCCCACTCTGGGACATAAGTGAAAAGCACAAAATTTAAGAGCCAGGAGTTGGTTAGGTTTGAGTCCTGGGCTCTGAAATGAATCAGATCTATTGGCTGATTGATTGGAGTATCGTGGACACGCAGTGTTACATTAGTTTTAGGTGTACTAGATCGATATTTTCAGTCCACCTGCACCCGCAACTCAGTTGCCTCATCCTTAAAATGGGATAAAAGTACATGCCCCACGTTGCCAATAGGGTTTTTACGAGGATCAAATAAGATGGCAACTGTGAAAGCCAGAACATCTGGGTCTGTGTCATGTGGAGATGGGGCACGGCCTTACCTTCAGATCAGCAGAGGCAGCAGCTTCAGGCAGTGAGACCTCTATAATCTGCCTTCCAGGAATGTAGAGCCCAGTGCTCATCCAGCAATATCTGGTGCCTGCCAGAGCACAGGAAGGACAGACTTTACCCCTCCTCCGTGATGCCATCTCCGTCCGGCGAATCCACGGCCCCTTCGGGAACTCTGCACGGCTCTCTCCCTTCATGCTGCCCTGACTCAACTCTTGCAAATGTTACTTAAAACCCCCACCCTCATCTCCTTGAAAGTGCATGGCCAAGGGTGGAGATGGCCTTCTGAAGCCATCAGACCCCGTTCCCACAGGACCCCACGCTGGGCGCTCCGCCCCCATTCCGTACCTGGATTGTTGCAGTTGACCTCAACAGTGATAGGAGACTCCAAGGGGCGCAGATAGGGGCTGCTGTACATGTCTTCGATTTCTGGCACTAACAGAGAGAGGTCACTTCCAGAGTGGGCCAGGCCAGTGGCCAGGGAAAGCATAGCACCCCTGCAGCAGTCATTGATAACGGGGTTCTCTCGGGTTGCAACTGGGAGCCGATAGCGACTCAGCAGCTTCCTCAGGAGCCGATGCACAGACATGTAGGCAGGGATCTCTTCAGCGGGGATCTGGAGGAAAGCTGCACCGTCCGGCCCCAGCTTGGCCAACCAGCCCTTTTCCACGTTCCCTCTCTTCCTGCCCATTATAACTTGGAACTCGGCCAGAGTGGAGCGGAAGTGATAGGTCCTTATCCCTGCTTTAGGCGTACGGAAGGGCCCTGGATTGAGGCTTTGGCTTGTGATGCTGATGCCAAAGGGGTTGAGGAGGAGGTTTCCTGGGAACCGAGCCAAAGGGGACACTCCAGGGTTCTTGAAGGCCCACCACCAGGCTTGGGCACCAACAAACAGCCCCCCGCCCTCGGCTACAAACTCCTGCAGCTCTTTGACCCCCACATCACTCACGGGTTCAAAGCAGTAGACACTCGCATCACTGGTCAGATGGGGCTCAATGCTGGTGTCTATGCCCCCCACCGCGAGCAGGCCGCTCAGTGTCCTCAGTTCTGTCTGCACCACGATCTTGCCTCGGCGGCCCCCGTCCAGCCAGCGCACGGCATTGAGCAGAAAGGGGCCGAGTTTGCTCACGGTGAATAATACCTTGTGGCCGGTCACGACCACCCGGCCCCGGCCATAGCGGGCTGCTGCTATGACACAGCCATGGTAGGAATCTAACCCCAGGGGAAAGGCTAGAGCCCCGTGCACTAGCAGCTGGGAGGGGAAGCAATCCGAGTTGCTGATGTCCAGCTCTGAAATCCCGTGCAGGAGCTCCTCTCTGTCCTCGGAGAGGTCATCTTCACAGCTGCAAAAGCCACAGGTGTTCTCTATTAAAGGAGTGACCACATCAAGCTCTGAGAACGGCGCCCCACATACAGCAAGCATCAGCTTTACTGACATGATGGCCGTTGGCTCTTGCAGGAGAGCCGGGAGAACAAAGTAGACATATCTGACCTCACTGGGTGTGCAGGCTGGTCTGAGGGAAGACAGAGGGACATTCGTTCTGCTCTGCTCATTCTTGGAATGCAAATCCTTCAAAGGAAGCTCTGCCGTGTTTACCCAATATCGTGTCTTAACTATTCTAGATTTAAGTGTTTATTTCAGCCTGTTGGGCATTACATAAATAACTGAATGGGCAATTGTGTTTTCATTCTTATAAAGAGTCTTATTTATACATTTCATGCAGCCAATTTTCAAGTAAAGTCAGCGGAGGGCTGAGTTGGTGGCACCGTTGAAGAATCACTCTTATCTCAAAAGGTGGGGCAGGGGAGCTGGCTGGCTTCAACTCTAGTAGAGACCCTCTTGTTACCTGAACCCAAAAGGATTGACTGTCTGCACCCAACACTCCACCCATTCCTTGCTGGCTTACAGGAGCCAAATATCCATGCTATAAGGTGTTTCTCAGTCTATCCGGACCTGTCTGTGACCATCAAACCCCTGTAAGACCTCAGGACACCCATATCCCCCAAACGGGAGATGCAGTCCTGGGTACCTAGTGGGATCATTAGGGGGGAAGGGTAGAGTGACTTCTAAAAGCTGGAGACCCCAGAGCTGGTTATGCCACTTTTGTTAGGTAAAGGTTGGCAACTATATGGTCAGGAGGCAATGCACGCAAACACTGAAAAACGGGAGTCAGGTAGACACCACTGTGTGTCTGTGTTTGTGCTCTCTCTCTGTGGCTGCAAAAACTCCAGGTAACTGATGGGAGACTGTGGTGCTCTTAGTAGGTACGATCCTTTCCTCAAGACAAAGGTATCACCTTACTAGTGACTCTCCTGCTCCTCGAAGCACTAACCACTGAAATCATTCAACTAGCTCTTCTCGCTCTGATTCCAAGTTTACCAAACCGCCTTGTGATGATAATCTTGCTTCTGATGATCATCTGCCTACACAAGGAAGTCAGGGGCCAGGCCAAGCAGAATGTTCTAGTTCTGTGACATATCTATTTCTCAAGGAATAGCTTGCACAGTCTATCTTTAATTTGGTGATTCTACAATTAACAATATTAATTTTAAATGTTTTACACAAACAATGAATCAATGGAACACTACATCAAAAACTAATGATGTAATGTATGGTGATTAACATAACATAATAATAATAAAAAAAATAAATAAATAAGAGTTTTTGTTACTTTATACCTGTATACAAAATTAAATGAAAAATGTGTTTTGATTCTCATAATAAGGAGTTCTGTTTATAAATTTCATGCAATTAATTGTTTGACAAGTGAAGTCAGTGAAAAGGTAAGCTACTGTGTTTTAGATTAATACATTGGCATCACGGTTTATACATTAGCTATTATGATTAGGTGGGTGATACTGAATGTGCAAACTTGAGGCCCAGACACTGAATCACTAGCATCTCATCTAGACAATGACAATGACCCTAGGTGAGGTCCTGCTCATGCTTAGCCGGAGGAGGGGGGAAACCCTCAGGCATCTGTTATTTCTAATAACCATGACTTATGTGCTGGGGAAGATAAATTTTTGTTCATAAACTGAAAAAAATCTGAACTGGATTTTTACTTTTCTTTCCCATTCTCTTCTGAAATGAAACAAAAGCTTTAAAATCAGAATAAATCCATGATTGCACTGAGTTGTGTAAAGGGCACAATCAGTAAACTGGGCTAGTGAGAAATTTATTGAAAATATAAATCAAATGGAATCAAACTGATCAGAAACCCATGAGCACAGAAAACTCTGTAACTGCATATATGTGAGAGAAAAAGATCAAGAAAAAAAGAATAGGGATTTTGAGAAAATACGGAGATAATTATTACTGAGAAAATACACTTCAGTAACCAATAATGATCAATCTAGAATTCCAATGCCATTTAACATTTACATAAACAAGAATCGCCAAATATTTGATGACAAGTAACAGCACGAAAGAGAAGCACCAAACTAACCTGAGAAAACCAACACCCAAGGAAGTAATAGTGATAAATGGAGTTCACTCCTGTTGTTGTACATCCTGTGGGTTTGGACAAAGGTGTAATGACATGTATCTATAATTATGGTATCACACAGAGTATTTTCACTGCCCTAAAAATACTCTTGGTCTGCCTATTCATCTTCTCATCCCACCCCTGGCAACCACTGAGGTTTTTACTGTCACCATAGTTTTGCCTTTTCCAGATGTCATCTGGTTGGAATCATGCATTGATCATGCATTTAAGGTTCCTCCATGTCTGTTCATGGCTTATTAGCTCATTTCTTTTCAGCATTGAATAATATTCCATTGTCTGAATGTACCACAATTTACTTATCTATTCACCTCCTGAAGGACATCTAGGTTGCTTCCATGTTTTTGCAATTATGAATGAAGCTGCTACAGATATAAACATCTGTGTGCAGGCTTTTGTGTGGGTGTAACTCCTTTGCATAAATAGCAAGGAGTGTGATTGCTGGATCCTATAGTAAGAGCAGTTTAGTTTAAGCTCAACCGTCTTCCAAACTGGCTGTACCGCTTTGCATTCCCATCAGCAATGAATCAAGAGTTCCTGATGCTCCAAGTCCTCATCAGCATTTGGTGGTGTCTGTGTTTTGGATTTTCAGTTTAGTGACATCTCATTGTATTTGCATTTCCCTGATGACACATAATGTGAAGCGTCTTTTCATATGATTATCTAACATCTGTACATCTTGTTGGTGAGGTGTCTGTTAAGGTGTTTGGACCGTTTTTAAAATTGGATTGTTTTCTTACTGTTATTTTAAGAGTTCTTTGTATATTTTGGATAATAATCCTTTATCAGATATGTCTTTTGCAAATATTTCCTCCCAGTCTGTGGCTTGCTTTCTTATTCTCTTGACATTGTCTTTTGCAGAGCAGAAGTTTTTAATTCTAATGAAGCCCAGCCTATCAATTATCTCTTTCATGGATCCTTGGTATTGTATCTAAAAAGTCATAGCTGTATTCAAGGTCATCTAGGCTTACTTCCTGTTATCTACTAGGGGTTTTATAGTTCTGTTTTACATTTAGGTCTGTGATCTGTTTTGAGTTATTTTATGAAAGCTGTAAGGTCTGTGTCTAGATTCATTTTTTGGCTTGTGGATGTCCAGTTCCATCATCATTTTTGAAGACTTTCTTCTCTCCATGGTATGGCCTTTCCTCCTTTGTCAAAGATCATATGACCATAGTTATGTAGGTCTCTTTCTGGGCTCTCCATTCTGTTCAATTAGTCTGTCCTTTCACAAATACCACTCTTGATTATGGTAGCTATATGGTTAGCCTTAGCTAGTGTCAGTCCCCCAACTTCGTTCTCCTCCAATACTGTGTTGAACACGCCATTTTGAAAAATCAACTTCATTGACATGTGGTAAAATGCATTTAAAGTGTACATCCTGATGAGATTTTGTTACATTTATACGCTTGTATAATCACAATAAAAATATATAACATTTCCGTTGCCACAGAAAGCTACCTTTTGCCCCATTTCAGTCATTCCAGTCCCCAGGCAACCACCAACGTGCTTGCTTTCAGTGTAGATGAGATCTGCCTTTTCTAAAGTTTCATATACATGGAATCATAAAGTATAGACTCTCTCGTGTTTGGCTTCTCCCACTCAGAATACATTTTTGAGAGCCATCCATGTTATTGAGCCTATCAGTAATCCATTCCTTTTTATTGCTGAGTAGTATGCCACTGGGTAGATATTTCACATTTTGTTCATCCATTCATCTGTTGTGAACATTTGGGTAGCTTCCAGTTTGGGGTTTGCTGCCATGAACATTCATGCACAAAATTTTTGTGTGGACATGTTTTCCTTTCTTCTGGATAAATACTTTGGAATGAGATGGCTGAGTGGTATGGTAAGAGGAGGTTTAAATTTATAAGAAATTGCCAAACTGTTTTCCAAAGTAATTGTATCATTGTACATTCCCAACAGTAACAGAAGAGTTCCAGTTGCACATTCTTGCCAACACTTTCTGAGTCTTTTTAGGAACTGTTCTAGTGGGGGGTGTATGGTATCTAATTGTGATTTTAATTTGCATTTCTCTGATGACCAACGATGTTGAGAATCTTTTCATGGGCTTATTGGCCTTTTATCGTTTATCTTCTGTGAAGTATGTTAAAATATTTTATCCTTTTATTTTTTTTACTGGATTGTTGATCTTCTTATTGAGATGTAAGAATTCTCTATGTATTCTGAATGCAAGTCCATTGTCAGATTAAGCACTGCAAATAATTTTTCCAGTCTGTAGCTTGTGCCTTTTTGTTTTCTTAATATTGTCTATTGAACTGCAGAAGTTATTTAAAAATTTTTTGATGAAGCTCAATTTATCAGTCTTTTCCTCTTATGGCCTATGTACTTTTTGTGTCCTATCTAGGCCATCTTTGCCTACCCTAAGATCACGGATAATCTCTCCTGTGCTTTCATTTACAAGTTTTTAACAAACAAAAAATAGAAGTTTTTGAATTTCAGCCTTTGCATTTAGGTTCAGATCTTTTCAATAATTTGTTTTGTATGGAGTGGGATAAGCATCAGGATTCACTTGTTCTCCGTAAGGGTGTCCATTTATTCCAGAACCATATGTTGAAAAGATTATCTTTTCCTCACTGAATTACCTTGGCACCTTTGCCAGAAACTAATTGAGCATGGATCTGTGAGTCTATTTCTGAACCACATAGTCTGTTTCACTGATCTGTATGCCTGTCCTCATGCCAATACCACAGTATTTTGATTACTTTAGCTTTCTAATAAGTATTTAAATTAGATTATGTTAGTTCCTTTCATGTGCATTAATTTTAGAGTCCATTTGAACTTTGGTTGGGATTGCGTTCAATCTATGTCATCTGGGG